ATATACATATATGTATATATATATATATATATATATATATACACGTATATATACTTCTAAAAGTCGTGTATCATGCATAGGAACGTTGACGCCTGCAAGGCTCTGGTTTAATTACTTCATAATTCTGTGTAATCTTTTTCATAATAACAATAACACATGCAACAGTAATAATTATAAAAGTATAAATATATTTTAGTTCTTTTGATTGAAAGTTTTAAACATTATTTAATAATAAAAATGAAACAATATTTAACAGGAAATTAAGTGACACGACAAACAATGTATTATCTTTAATAATAATAACCTCTACTTGTTTATCCAATTTTTGTAGCAACTACTGTACGCTCCTATCGCAAGACGACGTCATAATATCATCGGATTCCGAGCTAGACAATGATGACACCATCAATCTCATGACAGCTATAGAAAATAGCCTGCAACAGCATGTTTATTTATGGTGCTGGACATGACCTCAACCACGACCGTAAAAAAAGTACAATCATAGGTTTCAGGCCTTCTTGCATGTGTGGATGTAATACGGATCCCGGCCCGACTTGTGATCTAACACTCACTTTCACAGCATAGCACGATATATGTATATGTATATATATATATACATAATGTGTGTGCGTGTGTATGTGTGCGTGAATGGGTGTGTGTAGGTTATGTGTCTGCGGTTGTGTACGTACGTATGGGTGTGTGTATGTGTATGGGTGTGTATGTGTAAATATATATATAAATATAATATATAATATATATATATATATATATATTATAGATAGAGAGAGAGAGGGGGGGTGGGGGAGAGAGTGAAGCAAGTCTGAACACCACGGATCTAATACAGACTTTTACAGCATATCACCATTGGCAAAAGTTGAGGGGCCACGGCGATACCCACCTTCCACAATGATCTTTCGGTTTCTGGATCAGTAGGCCAAACATTTTTGAGTAGCATTTCTCCCATACCTCTCATGGAATGTTAAATTTTTATATAAATATTGTCGAAATAAATAAATAAATGTCAATACTGAGTGTGTACGTTTAATGTATCTTAATAAAGTTGATGATGATGATGACACAAGCTCATTATTTAACATATGTCGATCTAACGTATGGAGTGGCGCTGTCCGAGGATTAAAGAGAAAATCATTCGCTCCATCAAAGAAGCTCTCTGTGCTATTCACAGACTCGATAGGACAAGCGGAAGGGGCGATTGACCAAGGTGGCCCCCGGAGAGAATTTTTCACTTTGATTATGGAAGAAATTAAGCAAAGCTCATTGTTCGACGGCCCTATGGACAAGAGGATTCTGTCATTCAACGGTGCAGGTAAAAAGTGACATGTTTTGTCCATTAAATGTTGACATTAAAACCACACCGTACATCTCGTACATGCATATTCCCACGCTACTAAATCATTATATAACATGCACAGTAGAGTTCCTAATAGGCATTAATTTATTCATTCAAATTATTTCTGTTTAAAATGCATAATGTACTTTCGACAGCAATGGCAGAGGACAGGTATTTTCATGCTGGTCAGCTTATAGCAATGAGTCTTGTGCATGGGGGACCATCGCCGACTTTTTTTTCTAATGTCCTGTATTTCTAAAACCACACCTGGAATCGAAGATGTTGCAGATTCCGACATACGGACAATGTTGCAAACGGTGAGAATCATAACATAGACCTAGCGTAAAGGCATACTATCTTAATGATTTTATATTTCTTTGTACAAAATATTGAACCACAATTTATCTATTATACTGCAACAGATTCAAGCTGCGAGCACGTTACCAGAGTTAGAAACAGCCATAGACGGGGCAATGGACTTTTTGAATCTATCTAGAGTTTTAACCCATGTTCGCTCGGTGGTGGATAAAAATCATGTGGTGTTAAGAGCAGTCAGATTCTTCGTTCTAGATCGCACTAGGTCTGCTTATGAAAGGTATAGAATTGAAATTGTTTTAACATAAATGACTATTTCATGCTATAGATTAGGTGTACTTACAAGTCTACAATACACTTTTCAAATTTTCTTAATCAACAAACTATTTGATCACCTCTGTGACAATTTCGCATTACAACATTTATATCCATACACAAATTAAATACCATTCCAAGTGGGATTAAATGTGCTATATACCAGAATAACATTCATTGTGACTTAATTTAATAAAAGTGTTGTTATTTTTTTAATTTAAAAGCATCGTCCTTCATCTCATTTTTGTGTAATTTAAGTTGGTTTGTAAGTTGATCTCATATCTCGACAAGGTCAATAGAAACAAATAAGTGAAATGAAATGTACTCCGCAGATTTTCTGAGGGATTGCAAACACTTGATGTTCTGACGACCATTCAAGGGCACCCTGTCTGTTGCCGTGAAGCATTCATTGCCGCAGATTCTTCAGTGTTGACAGCTGCTAAACTTAGACACCTATTCAGGGCTGTTTATAACTCGAGAAGAAGAGAAGAAAAAACTGCAGGTTTCTGGATGGACTACCTGTTGGATGCAGAAGGTAATGCCAGGGTAGAGATTATGCTAACAAAATGCCCACACCACAAACGTAATCACGCGAATCTAGAGCAGATTACCACGACACGGTTTGCCGAATGCCAGATTGCCTAGTCCACTTTACGATACGATGGTTATTACTCTGTGTCATTTTAAATTTTTTACTGATGAATATACCTTTAGGGGATTCGGGGATACGATGCCTATTCTTCCCTTTAGATTTGAGTTCATAATTTGTCTTGTATTATTATTATTTTGGGTTTCCGTGTTTTTTTTTTACTTTATACTTTTTAACGACTTTTTGTTGCAATTTCAACTTCATTGCTCATTATAGCAATGAGGAAAAGCCCCTTTGATCTGTTTTACAAACAGACATAGTAAGTCTAGTCTTATGTATCGTTGGTAGTCTTTTTTTTCGGGGGGAAGGGAGCGGATTTGCACAGGGTGATACAGGGGAGGATACATGGTGGCCTAACTGTTTTATCATTTTTGTTTTATCATTTCAGAGAAAGAAGCACAGTGCACTTGCAAGGACATACTGGTTTTTGCGAGTGGTGCATCCAGCATACCGATAATAGGATTCAGCGACCAACCCAAGATAGAATTCCTGAATGATGACGCTCGCTTCCCAACTGCTAATACTAGTAGTATTATATTGCGTCTGCCAAAAAAATTCGAGGAATACAACGAATTTAGAGATGCGATGGATTTCGGTATCTTAAACGCCCAGTCGTTTGGACTGGCGTAAATACCACATCTTGCTTAATATATACATGTAAGTCCACTGTAGAAATTTAATGGGGCAATTGCCTAATTCGAGAGTCCGATTATTTTACTGTAGAAACTACTGTACTAGTATAGTAAGGATAGTGACTGTCATTTTACTGTTGGTTTTCCCCGTTTTTTTTATTCTTTGAAAGTTTCACGGTTTCAGTTTGTAAGATATTTCAAACCTATTTTGTTAACGTAAGCAGACGTAAGTAATCTTGCCTGTAATGCAGTAGACCTCTGTGTGTATGTATGCACTATAAGGTGACCAGATATACAAAGTTATTATCCAGCACTTAAACATACAGAAAGTCTAACCAATATCAGTTAAGTGTAATTCAGATGTTTGCTCTATACAGGATTGAATTATTAAAATAAATAAATATTGTGACGTGTGACATTTTTTATACCTGTTTTATATTTCTTTTTCACCACTTCAAATTTGTTAATAATAGGCCAATTATGGATTTGATTCTGAAATAAAGTTAATCAATAACAAAAGGACTCTCTAGAATTTTTTTTATAGAATCATCCCGAGAACTTGAAATTTTGCAGTTTATTAGTTTGTGATTGGTTTGTAGCCAGTTTTATTATAAAGATATCTAACAAATATCAGTTAAGTGTAGGTGTTTGCCCTATTGTATACAGGATTGGACTGTTTTTGTTTGTGCGCACAAGACGTGTCAATATGCGTCCTTTTTATTAAAATAAAAAAATATTGTTACGTGCGATATTTTTGATGACTTTTTTATATTTTTGTTTTCACCACTTCAAATTTGTTAATAATAGGCCTATTATGGGTTTGATTCTGAAATATAGTCAATCAATCAATCAATCAATCGATCAATAACATAATGAGACTTTTCCACAATTATTAATAGAATCATTCCGAGAAAGATGTATTTGTTGCTAATTGGTATCTAGCCCTTTTAATAAATAAAGATGAACATTTTGAAACAAGATGAACATATACATTAATGTTCACATTTTCTATGTGAATGAGGTAATGGTTAATTTGGATACTGTAGACTGAATACATCATACTAATGCCATTTAAAGGGCAACTACAGTACTGGACACTCCCTGATATGTGTATAACCAGCAAGACCATGTTACAGTACAGTAAGCTTAATATCGTATCTTATTTTTTCCTAAAATATACATTATACATGCCATGTTTGTGGAAAGCACTCAAAAGCAATACCAAATTCGATTACTGTATAAAAATAAAAGGAATGACACCATTACATTAATAATATAACGTAAGTGCTAAATAAATAATAATTCAATTTACTAATATAAAAGCTGTGCATTAGTACGTGTAGTTTGTAAAAAAAACAAAAAAAAAACAACAATATTAACATCCATCAAAGTCTATGTACAATAGAACCTAATGCATGTGTTATTAATCGTAGCATTTGAATTTCCTAGAAATTTAGAAACAATCAGTGAAATTTTGGAAACCTACAATTAAATACCGAAAGGTCCATTGATAAGAGTACCGCATGCAGGCCCTATTATACTTTCCGATGATTACATCGTGTTCAGAAACTCTTTCAGTGATGAGAAATATGTTATCTGTTCCTCTTCACTTGCCAATTCTCTGACTGCATATGGAAAATCATCAGCAATCCTCTCAAGTTGTACATTGGTCAAGTCGAGTTCATTGGGAACCAGGATTCTTTGGCAATTTCAGACTCAAAATATTCTTATTTTGTTCTTATTTTACACAATTTTCAAACATTATAATTTACTGGAATGTAAGTAAAAACGCCTCCAGAAAAAATGACCCTTTAAAAATGCCCCGGTAAAAATGGCTCCAAATGGCAGGTACGGTAAATTACACCTACTTTGGGCTATATTATTTTACATAGTTACAGATATTTTTATTTTTTTTTATTTTTAGAAAATAAACATCTCATTTGACGTTTTAACTCAGCCTCAATTTGTTCTTATTTTTTCTTAATTTATAAGCAATTTAAGCATCAGTACCATTCTTTATGCATTTATATACTGATTAAGACATTTACAAAATTTTGATAGGATCTCACCTCCACAAACCATTCGATATCATTGAAAGCACTACGCCACTACTGCATTGGTGACCTGTTCTTTTCAGTTCGCAATTTATGTCGAGAAAAACTGTGCCTGAACTTTTCTAGTGCATTGTTGATAATCAGCAAAAAGGTATACTGCAACGCAAACATATCTTTTTCGCAATCAGTGTTCAGTAAACCTAAATCCTCCATTT